AATTATGCATGCAAAATTTCACCCAACATGGCTGGCAAGGAAATTAATGTAAGTGGGGTTATTGAACATGATCATACCATGTCACCAGCTCCCTGGTGCTCAGTTTTTTCAACTTTACTGGAGGTTCCAGCTTTCTCTTGGTGAAGAAGATATCATAGAAATGTCAGTTATTTCATTTAATTAAGTCAATTAGAAATGCTCCAATGTCATTCATATTGTCAGTTTTACAAGATCTGCAAAGCATACCCATTGTTTCATTATCCTGGCTTTTACGGGGTTGGTGTGCCTTCAACTCCCTCACCTGATCCAGAAGACTTGGCAGCTCTGAGAATACATTGCAGAAAACAAAATTGTTTCAGTATCATTCAGCTGCATCCTTCAAACACCAACCAGTGACATAGGCATATTGGTTAATGGTAAATGGATTTATATAGCGCCTTTCTAGTCATCCGACCACTCAAAGCGCTTTACACTACATGCCAATATTCATCCATTCACACACACAATCATACACTGAAGGCATTGGCTACCATGCAAGGTGCCACCTGCTCATCATCATCTAAATTCTCAGTCACACACCGATGGCAAAGCTTTCGGGAGCAATTTGGGGTTCAGTGTCTTGCCCAAGAAACTTCGACATTCAGGTTCATATTCAGGTGTATTCCGACAAAAAGGGGGGAACTGACCTTGAAAAAGGGAGAGGGTCTTTTGCAACATAGAGTTCTCCCTTTTTAACTCCTTCATTTCATATGTGGCGATGTCCAGTTTGGTCTGCAACTCCGATTTGGAGAGAGTCTGGTCCAGCTCACTATCAGAGTCAGTAAGAGGCATGGCCTGAAAAGACAAACATTCACAAGAAAAATCAGACACAATGTTTATGCTTGAAATGCTATCAGGCTGATTATTATTATTAATTCTACAAAATGTTCTGGCTAGCTTAAAGGTGGGGTAGGTAAGTTTGAGAAACCGGCTCGAGATACACTTGTTGTTATATTCCATGGAATGCTCTTAACATCCCGATAGCAATGAATATCTGAAGTGCTTTGATAAAAAATCCATAAAAAATATCATCTGTGGAAGCCGTAGTACTGTAAAAAGCACGACCAATCATCTGAGCCGGCCCGGCTAAAATGATTGGATGGCCTACCTGCCTGTCAGCCTTCCATCTGTGCACAAACTTATCTCGTGCCCTCATTGGTCATGTGCGCGTTCGTGTGTGTTGGAGGAGGGGCTCTGTGAGGAAGTGGCAGATTTGTTCCGGCTGTGTATTTTCAAATTCTAGCGTACTCGAGCTGGTTTCTCCAAAATGACCTACCCCACCTTTAAGTCTAAGGTGCATTTAAAAACTACACAGTGTACATACAAAAATGAAAATAAATCTAACCCTAACCCCAAAACCTCAAAGACAACCTAACATTTTCACTAATTTCCTCAAGATATCAACTAGGCATTCAGAGAAATTATTTAACTACTTCGCTCCCCATTTATTTTTTTTAGTAACTGAAATTATGGTTAGCTAAATATATTCAAATGCAGTTTGCACATTTCGGGGGGAAATGTAATTAAATTGAATATTCTATGGATCTTGAATACAAAGTACTGTATGTTAACCCAAAAGTGCACAGAAGTAATCAGATCACATTACAGAGTTTGATTATTTGTTTCACTTCTTACAATTAAAAATAAATAAATCTGTAACGGATTACATTTTTTATGTAAACCTTATCAAGCCGCTCAATATTTGTGGGCTATCCATCTAAGATAAAGACTAAAGTAGTCAAGTACAATTAAACAAGTATTAGTTTTGCTTACTTTCTCCGATATGCTCCTGAGGAGGTTTTGTTGCTGTTGATGTTCCGAATTATGTTTCTTCTCCTTTCTTTGGTATGTCCGCCTTGATGGAAAAAAAAAATAGTAATTGAATGTAGTCAATTATAATCTCTTGTAGAAATGTATGTTTTATAGGGCTGTCAGTCGATTAAAATATTTAATCGCGATTAATCGCATGATTGTCCATAGTTAATCGCACATTAATCGCACATTTTTTATCTGTTCTAAATGTACCTTAGAGGGATATCTTTCAAGTTTTTAATACTCTTATCAACATATGAGTGGACAAATATGCTTTATATGTTTGTTTATTATCATTTGAACAATGACAAATATTCTCATGAATATTAAACACAACAACCTGAACATTACAAATATTCACCTCAATTCAACCTAGAACCTCTATCATACAATACTGTGTGTGTGTGTGTGTGTGTGTGTGTGTGTGTGTGTGTGTGTGTGTGTGTGGAGACACTGTGATGGATCGTTGAGCTATGTGCAGCTCAAGGCATATATGCTCCAACGGGAGCTGCCTGGATGCTGCAATCATGTAGCGCGTACTATCCGTGCTGAGTGTGCTGACTTTTCGTACAATGTCCCACTGTCTGGCTACCTGCATCAAGTCAAGTGCTCGGCGCAGTTGTCGGCGAAATGTCATTGAAACAGCTCCTTATATCCGTTAGCGCAGCTAGCCAGCACCAGATGCTAACAACAACACGTAAGGTGTGCCTCGCTCGCGCGAGTCGCGCCACACATACACACTCCCTCCCGGTCCTCCCGATGGCCAGTCCGGGCCTGCCAGTGAGCGTGGAAGTGTAGTCTGCCACAAGCGGGCGACAGGAGCGGGGCTGTCAGCATCAGCTTGTCGATGGTATTTTAAACTCGATGCGCTCTGAAACTACGGCGGCCGAGGACAAAAAATACACATGTGTTAATCGCGTTAAAATAATTAGTGGCGTCAATTTTTTTTTGCGTTAACGCGTTAACTTGACAGCCCTAATGTTTTAACAATACAAGATTCTTTCTCCTTTGGTGCGATACTAAGTTCATGGCCTGGGGGAATACACAATTCTAAATGGCTACAGAGGTGTTGATTAATGTGAGATATACTACGGCTAGTAGCCTTATTACAGTTCAAAATGAATGCGCTTATCAATATTTGAGCCCTACAATGCAGACAGCTAATATAAAATAAGCTGCTCTTGTTTTGAGTAGCACACAAGTTCAGGGCTGCCAACATTTGAGTTCAGCTTGGAGTGAGATTTTTTTTTTTTGGTGAACCGAAAAAAGAAACGTCCATGTGTACAGTGTTACTAATGTATTGAACAAGTACAAACTAGGGTTTCCCATTAATGTACCGGGCGCTACAGTGGAGTACGCACATACACAGTGTACCCGCGACTCTTACAATGAAGGCTCGATAATCAGCTCACAGCATATAAAATGGCATATCGGTGTAAGCAGGGGTAAAGTGCTATTTTATAAGTGGGGGTGGTCCTCACCTCCTCTAGGGGGGTCCGGGGGATGCTCCCCTGGGAAGATTTTTTTTTTAAATATTGAAGTTAAATGCATCAATCTGGTGCACTTTGAGAGCAACATGAATTTAAGGATACATCTCTCAACACCCATATGAAACACAACTTTAAACAGATTTTCTTTTTCTTTATGGATATTTTACAAATCACTCACCTTTTAAACTGTATTCTTGTTTTACTGTCATATAGTATTTCATAACTGTTTTTCATTTATTCTCATAAATGGTGACCAAACCGTTTGAAAATGTTGTGCTTAATAAGCACAACATTTTCAATGTCAATATCCAAGTTGCTTGCTGCATATCTTGTTGCATTGTGCAGAATATGGGCTAAACAGTTTGCAGCGAGCACGTCTTTTTGAGCCAGTTTCAGTTTCTGATAAACACTGTTGTTTTCCATAGTTAACGCTGGCGTTGTCTGCTGCATATGCTGACATTTTTTTCACATAGTCCAGACATCTCCAGTTTAGATAGCAGCTGATTTGTTATAGCTTCTGACTTTTCGTTGCTATCACTGTAAAAATCCAACAGTGCATGTTGCACGCCCTCCTCAAAGTGAAAATATCTCAGTACAGTATTGGGGAAACACTTGATCGTACCTTTGTTTGATGCATCACTTGCCACTGAATAATGCAGTTCATTTTCTTTTATATAATCCACATGCGTCTGGACAGAAAAAAATACAAAAAAAGAAACGTTCATGTGTACAGTGTTACACATTTATTGAACATGTACAAACTATTTACATTAAAAAAATATTTACATACATAACTTGACAGGGATTAACTTGATTCAATTAGAGGTAGTTTCCATAAACCTATATTGTGCTCTGGCTGTGGTCGGGTCTGTTGTAACTGCTGGTGGCAGATTTTGCAGCCTTTAGCATTGATTGGGTTGGCTCCCACTTAAAGCATGGCTCCAAGTCTGCCATCTTTATTGTCATGAGAGACGACAGTGTCCCCTCCAGGGCCAGGCTGTTCCTTGTTTTTGTTTTGTTTAGTCCCAGCATTTGAGTGTGGCAAGACTAACACAAGTTTGGCAACAGTGGAGAGTCTATAAAACCTGCCCACACCTGTCACCTGTAAAACATGAACAACAGGGTTAAGTTGCACAATGAATACACACATGTCACTCGAAATTAGTCCACATTGTGGAATGAGACACACTTAGATATCTGACCTTGTGTTTTAAACTGGCCATGTTGGCCCAGAAGCCCTCAATATCTGGGTCTGCTTCCAATATTGGCACAGGCATGGTCTGGTAGTCCAGGAACTCCTCCCCCAATGAGTCATGATCTTGTGGGCTGTGGTAGGGGAGAAGGTGGGCATACCTTTTTTGAAGAGAAACAAAGGTAGAGTTACAAACTTCTATTCACTTTGAGATATACTTCAAAGGTCAGGGTGAAACTGAGTAGTTGGTATATTTGTTTATATTGGTTGTTAATTTCTGAAGAATTAGAAAATAAATTAATATATACATTTTACCTGTCAACAAAGTAGAGGGCATCCTCCACCCCACATTCTGCCCTCTGCCTCACATCAAGAAACCTGGCATGCTTCAGCAAGGGCTCACTTAGAGGCAGCCTTTGTAGAGCATACTCTACAGCTTTCACAAAGAAGTTAAGGGCTGCAGTGTGGAATAACTCCACTTTCTGGGCGGTGATGTCCCCAGCATCCAGGAGATGATTGAGCCTCACCCTGGTGATGAAGCCGACATTCAGTTTGTATCCTGTTAGAGATGCAGAAAACACAATCAAATCCAATGTACTTTCATAAAAGCACTTACATACACACCTTTCCGTGAGCTTCATTATAGCATTTGAATGATTACTCATGTAATTCCAAAAGACAATTACACATATAAATACTGTACTATACAAAGGTCTGAACATGCCCAGTTGTTGAAGGCTTTTTTTCTCTGTGTCAAATCATGAAACAATCAGTCTAGAACTAATCCCATTATTGTATTCATATATAAACTTCAATATAATTAGATTTAATGTGAAGTGTGTCCAGACTTTTGACTGTTACCATATATACACACACACTTCATCTTACTTTACTTTTCACTAAATTACAATTACCAGGCAGATGGTTCTCCTTATCCACATATGGGATGTCCTGAGGCTTAAGGTGGGTCTGCAGTACTGTGGGCAAGAGGAACTTGGAGCAGAGCTTGCGGATGAATGTAATCATCTGAAATATATTTAAGAAAGTATTACATCTTACCCGAATATTACATTAACAAAATACTGGAATGCAGGCTTAAATCACTTCCTCTAGATATACCTCATCTTGCAATAAAAATATAGATGGATGTTGTCTCTGGAAGAGGAGATTCAGAGAGGTGAAAGCTGGTATGGTTGCTTGGTAGAAGAGGAGATACACTTCAGTCATGGGGTCAGAAAAGGCTCCCTGTAGCCTCTTCAGTCTTGGCTGATTCCCCTCTATAAGTGAGAGAAAACAAAGATACAACTCACACACATAATGTTGATTTCAAGACTGCATAATATAGCATATATTTGGATATATATCTTACCTGTTGATTGGAAATAGCTGGCAAGTGGCTCGTACAATCTCAGCATGCGGGTCACACAGGTTTCAAGGCTCAACCACCGCACAGAGGCATGCTGTAGGACTTCCAGGTATTCTGACTCAAAGAGCTCACAAAACTCTGTTCAAAGGAAATATATTCCACAGTTGTATAAGACGCATAATACCAGTTAACTACTTACATTTTAGTTTGTATAATTTGTGTATAACTGGCTGGAAAGTTGATACCTGCCAGAAATCCCTTGCGGTTGGTGCTTCCTTTAAACCAAAAGCCCACATCAACCACAACGTCCTCCAGATCAAAATGTGACACCTGCAATTAAACATTTTTTGTAACTGTATCCCCTGTACATCACCTAAATATTTAACATATATTCAACATACACTTACCTCAGTAAAGGTAAGACCTGCTCGCTTTGCAGTGTTGTGTAAAATATGACACGGGCAACCATGTACATAAACACTGGTTGTTTTGCAGAACTCTTGATGCGATTGAATTGTGTTGTCCGATGTTCACGGCTGCATTGTCTACAGAGAGACCAATACAGTTGCACCATGGAATCTTGTGGTTTTGTAAGGTGGCATCAATCTTTTGGAAGATTAGCTCTGCTGTACCAGATCTGGTTCCACTTGTGGTGCACATATCTAGGAACCGATGTGCCACCCTATTCACATCAAACACACGCACAGTAAGGGGGTTCATCTTTTCTCTTCCTGCATTGACAAAGAAATTAGCACATTGTCTTAGGGAACATCAAATAAATATATATCTCATACTTAAAAAATATGGCTAGAATAAAAAAGAAAAATAATGTTGTTCATACCAGGATGTAAAGGTATTTAATTCCTACCTGTGTCATTTGAGCCATCTGTAATGATGGTGTATGGATTCTCCCTCATCAGCATCACCAGTGCGTTCTGGTAATGTGGCGCCAATACTTTGTTTATGAGGCAAGAGGTCTTGGTCCTTGCACATTTATAGTCCTGTGCAGTGGGTGAGTCTTTGAAGCACTCTTTCATGAGTGGCCCCAGATGATCTGTGACAGCCAGTGGTAGATTATGGTTTGCCAGCATCACCGCCATCTTTAATTCTGCCCTCCTTGTCTACAAGATACAGTTGGATTGGTGTTAGATTATGAAATATGTGAATGTACACAATGAATTCAGTTAATAGAGTATGCTAGTTCCAAAAAGGCAAAACTCTATTTAGGAAATTAGCTTATCATGTAAACAGTATAGTGTCTTTATCATCCACTAAATAACCACAACACCACTGAGCATAACCAACCTTCACTTCTTGGACAGTCATTGCCCCAGCAGAAGGAAGTGGAACTGAGAATTGCTGAATTCCAGTGCTGGATTGCACTGCTTTCTGTTTTTCCTGATGGCATTTGCTGTTAACGTGCCTTGCAACATCGGCTATTCCCTGGTGACAGCAAGCATTTTCTACTCTGCATACAGAGCACCAGTAGTGGGTACTAAGTGTCCCCTTTGTAATGAATGGCCATTTATGTGACCATTCATTTTTAAAAGAGCACCTATATGTTGCGGCACCGCCCTGGGCTCTGGTCTTTGTACCAGGTGTCCCCTCTTTCTCTGAGGGCTCATCTATCTGTGTCAACAGGGTTAGTGCTAGATCGTATACCTCCTGGGTTTTAGGCGGAAGTGACGTAATCTGCCACCGAGGACAAGAGACGACGCTGGCTGCTGCCGTCTTCACACAAATAAACCCCTTAAAACCTGTATGATTTAGTTTTCACATGTTTATTGAAATGAATTCGTCCATCTCTTTATATTATAGTATTAAATGTATTATTTTCGGTTGTGTATTTGTGTTTTGAAGGTTTTTTTTGGATGTTGCGATTTAATTTCTCCAAGAGAGACAAAAAATCACTAAAAGATCTGGTGGATATCTGACCAGTATTTCATCATGGAAGTTAAATCACAATCATTTCATTATCCTGTGGAGGATAATGTTGTTTTGTGACAGTTGCTCAATTTTAGAACAAACAAAATAACATACTTAATAAATAGCTAAATGTATATATATATATATATACACAAGAAGTAAAAGTGTGAATTTCAAGATAAGAAAAATATAATAAAAAGATTAATGTAATTATAGGAAATAAAATCAAAAATTGGCAATGCAAAATAAAATAACCATATGTATATAAACATATAAAACAAACAAGAAATGAAAGCAGAAATGTTAAATATGATTTTAAATAACAATATTTATGTTGAAATAAGAAGTGAAAGTAAAAGAGGGCAATACAACAAAGATATAATAAAATACAATTTAAAGATGTACATTAACATAGGAAGTAAGAATACAAATGTGCAATACAAGATAAATAAAAAGACTAACCTTACAGAGTTAAAGTAAAAATGTTGCAATACAAGTTGTAATTAAATAGAATAAAAATATGTATGGATAATTTAATAGGGATTATTTTTTTGTTGAGACATCAGGACCCTTCTCTACTCCCTCCACATACATCAGGACCCTTCTCTACTCCCTCCACATTCATGCTGACCCGGAAGTTCAACCTCATAGCTTCCGCAAAGCAGCCTACCCTTTTTGTGAATGGGTGCTTTTGTGGTACGGTTTTCACAGGTAGGTTGGCCATGTCCTTCTTCCTTTTCTTAGGTGTGAACGTCAGAGGAAGGCTCTGATCATGTGGAGTGTGTAGCTTCACATCTTCCAAGATCTCGGTCATTTGGTCAGTTAACGTTTTAAGGTAATCTTCATCTTGCAGATGGTATGTTAAGTCAGTAATCTCACGCAAGAGACTGGCACATTCCCTTCTTTGTTTAACCTTTCTTGGTCTTTTCCTTTCGGGCAAAGCGTTACATGGTGACTGCATTTCCACTGATACCGGTGTGTATGTATGATCTGTGATGTCTGATCTGCCACTGTCATCCCTCTCACAAGAAGTCTGTCCCAGACATGCATTATCCAGGGAGAAGAGGGGGTTATCCCTGTAATTAGATGCCAGTTTCTCCCAACCCCATTCATGCACATGATTAAAAACAGCACAGAAGTGCTTGCAGGGCAACTTGTGCTTTGCCCAGTCTTTGCAGGTGCACGATGGCATGATGATACTTTCACCAAAGTTGATGTGGTGCTGTGTGCAAGGATGACTTTGGCTTTTGACATGGAACATGCCATTGCCCTTTGCAACAACGTCATTCGCCTCATAAAACTGGGCTTCTGTAAGCCTTGACATCACATGGTCTGCTACACTTCTTGGTCTGTCTTTTAAGAACTTTGGCATGTTCTCATTGTACCTTCTGTAGAATGAGGAGTACTTGACATTGAGTTCAATGTACCTTCAATAAGAGATGAGAACAATATCTTAGAAGTCTCTCTGTGACAGTTTGCTTTCTCTGACATATAGATATGGTATTTGATAATACAATTGTCTCAGAAACATATGCAACAATGAACAACATCAAACAAATATGTTGGAAACAAAGCTATCGAACATTACATTTATATATATATAAAAATGTGTGTGTGTTTGTGTATGTATGTATATATAAATATATATATGTATAATCATAGTAATTCTTTTTTAGCTCACTTCCGATATGTCCTTGGTAGGAAGTCAGTTACCAACACAGTGAGCATTTCACTGAGGCTGCAGTTCTTATAACCTTCAAGATGAGAATGCTTTAGGGTTTCATTTTGTCTTTCCACCCCATTGTTGGTGTAGATGGCCACCTTGAGATCTTCATCCCGAAACACGTGCACCCATCTCTACACAAGACAAAAAAAGACAAAAAAAATTAAAAGGAAGACTCTTCAAATTCAACAAATGATATAATAAATATAATATAAAAGTAAATATAATATTTGAACTTGATACACACCTTAGCCTCTGGGAGCCACTTATTTGAAAACCACGCCCTCACTTTTTCATTGTCCTTCCAGACTTTGGCCTCCTGCAGGTTGCAAAGGCGTGTGCTGAACTCCTCTGGAGTTGAAGCAGCTGCAATGCTTCTCAGAAGCGGTAGGAGACTGTCTTGTGCGTGGCTCACTCCATGATCTTTCTTCCTGCACCATTCAACCCAAGCTTTCTCCCTATGGAAGTCGCAGAGAAGCACCTTGGAACCTGGATAAAATATAAGAGATATATTACCTGCACCATGTTGTCATTTTATTTTGTCGCGTTGCTATTACATAGTATACGCGACAAAATATAGGCCTGCTTTTTATACATCTGTCTGTCAGTGGAGGTGATGACTTTATTTTGAAGTAGATTGTTGCATACATTTGCATGTAAATGGTTATATTTTGGAAGTTGGTGGAATACTATGTAAAATGTATCCTTTTTTTTAATTAACGTTTCATATTATGTGAATTAACAGATTTCTACAGTTACTGCAATTTCACCTTGAAACTCTTCCTCCAGGGCACCGATCTCTACCTCTGAGAAATCAACCATGAAGTGGCTAGGGCTCCAGTCAGGGTTCCACTCCTTAAACACCTGGAGGGCTTCTTTGACATCTGCTGTTGTCTCACTCTGGGTCACAAAGAGGCCAACCACTGCATAGCACACATTTGTACGTACACATAGGAAGAAGAGGGGAACAGAATAACGACACGTCCGGTAAGTAGCATCAAGCAGGCACATCTGTTGTCCATACAGGTGGAGAAGCCTTCGCTGCCAGGCTGTCTGGTAACAAAACAGCAGCTTTGTGACAGTTCCGTCCTCCTGTAGCTGGCTTGGCCTGTACTTGATTTTGCAGTCATCAACTAACCATCTGGGGGTCAGAAGCTGTGAATGAAAGTGTAACTGGACATTATCATCATGTAGCCTCATGGCCCAAACATTAGGAACATTTGTTGTCATATCAGGGCAAAAAACAGTTTTGAAGTTTTAGTTGCATTTTGAAAAATGGTCATACCCTGCATATGAACCAAATACTGCTACTTTGCTTTGCTTACTTACACCTGCATTCAGAGGACAATGTATCATGTAAAAAAAAAAAAACTGACCATGCTTGGTGAAGTCACAAACTCTGTAAGTTGTGCATTAACCACCCACACAAACTTGCATGGCTTGAATAATATTAATACTATTCTACTCTCAGTGTATTACCTGCAGATTGACCTGGTCATTTTTGGATTCACGTATTCCCTCCTTCGTTCTTGATAAGATATTCCTGATATCCTTGTCTGTGGGGTAAAACCTCCGACGTGTTTGTGGAGGTGGCTGCTCCCCCCGGAATAGCTCGTCATTTACAAAATTGAACAGTTGACGTCTAATCTCACTAAGCTTTCTGGCACCAGCCAAGGTGAGCTTCACTATTTGTTGTTCAACTCTGGAATCCATCGGTTCACGCAGTTCAGCTACCTGTACATGACGTTGAACAGGGTAATTATAGATGTTTAAAGCTGTCTAAAGAAAGTCCTCTTTGTACAGCACAAATTGTACCTCGC